AAGCACTTGGCGACTTTCAAGGCTGAAGGTCCCCGAGCTAGAGAAGGAACGGGGAATTATTTTAGCATTAATCAACTTCTGATCATCCTCTGGTGTTCTTTTTAGGCAACCTGCTCTCCATGGGGTTTGGATTTGTGGAGTACAAGAAGCCGGAATACGCTCAGAAAGCAGTCAAGCAATTACAGGTAACAGTGCCTAGCGATCTATGGGAATGGCCCATAGTCATGTGGTCAACATAATGATATGTTGAGGCTCACGGAACACTGATCTTTCAACTGAAGTGGTACCTATTTATCTAGTCGCATTTGCGTGATTTCGAACTGCTAGGCTGGCAGGAGCTGGAGCCAGGAACGGGAGCTCCTCCTGTCAATCAGTGCTCGGGTCTCGAATCCAAGCTGGTCAGCATAACTATACGTTGAGGTGCACGGAACACTTTTACCTTCCCACTGAAGTGGTACCTATTTATCTAGTCACATTTGCATGCCTTCAAACTGCTAGGGTGTCAGGAGCTGGAGCCAGGAATGAGAGCTCCTCCTGTCAATCAGTGCTCGGGTCTTGAACCCGAGCTGGTCAACATAACTGTACGTTGAGGTGCACGGAACGCTGTGACCTTCCCACCGAAGTGGTACCTATTTATCTAGTCGCATTTGCATGCTTTCGAACTGCTAGGTGGGCAGGAGGTGGAACAAAGAACGGGAGCTCCTCCTGTCAATCAGTGCTTTGGTTTCCAACCCAGTCTGTCAGGTCTGCAGCTGACAAGCTCAGTGTCTTTAACCACTGAGCCATCACGCCCCTGCCCCCTTGCTCTGCTTAGGCATATACCTAGTTCACATTCTTGGTTCACTTTGGCTCTCTGTGCCTTCCAAGGTTTCTCCACGATGGACCCTGAATAATGGACTGAAATAGAGTTCGTGGATGACCTCTTCCACCTTGGAATATTATTTAGCGCAGTAAACATTGATTTACGATCCCCATCTCTCTGCCTTCTTCGCTCTCCTTTCATTCTGAGCTGGCAAAGACCAGCCTTCCTGAACTCGGTGTCCTCCAACCGTGATGGATTTAAGACTCGTCGGCCACCAATGAATGGAGAGACCTCCCAGCGGAGGGAGATTGATTTGTTGGGCCCAACACGCTCCCACATTGGTTCTAGTTGATGAGTCATACAACGGACCTTTTTGTTAGCAACCTATCTTGAAAAGGTTGGCCTGAAATCCTGCTCCCTAATGAATTAGCCCCGCTTTCAATCGAGGTATCCGGAGATCCGCTTCTCGGGTTGGTTCATTGGGTTGCAACGTTTTACTCTGGAAGGAAAGCGTTCCAGCCGTCCCCATTGCATCAGCCCAATCTGCTTTCTTTCAGGGTTGCTCCGTGGACGGCCATCAGCTGGAAGTGAAAATCTCCGAAAGAGCCATCAAGTAAGTTTGAGAAGGGAAGTCACTTGTGGTCCTTCTCCTGTCTGGAGAAACTCACTTCCAAGCATTTTCTGCAGCGGGTAAAACGTGACCCTGGCATCTTGAGTTGGATAACAAGTTCTACCAAGACTTTGTCAGGTGTGAAAGTGGGCATTCTGCTCTCAAGATAGCTTGCTGGGAAGTGGGGAAGACCTTGGGAGACTGGGTGGAGAGATGCTGCCGAGAGAACAATCCGATAAAGGACAGCTTAGCCCTTAGCTAGAGAGTGGGTAAGGGAAAGGGCTCAGAAGGGATCCTCCCTAGTTTCTTGGGCTGTAAAGCACCTGTGATTATGTGAATCTTGCAAGTAGAATTTTCCTCCCTCCCCTTTAGAGTCCAAGAAACTAGGGAGGGTCTCTTCTATCCATTTGCAGGCTGGGCTGCTTCTTATCTGACCATTCCCCAGACTATGATGGCGATTGGTCCCTGGTGTTAGTCCTGTGTTAGTGTTGTGGCCTGTCGGCCGCTGGCCCCGCCATCAAACAAATCAGAACGGGAGGAGGCATGGGAGTCAGGATTAGCTTCCAGGCAACTGGGAGCTCCGAGGGGGAAGAGGGAATGGAGTTGGCAGAGAGAGAGAGAGAGAGGCGGAGCCTGGGCCGTCCGTCAGCCCTCCGATGGAGAGTCAACAGCCCCCAGATCTGGAGGTGGCTGATGAGGAAGAGGAGGAACAGCTGGGATCAATGCCTGAGGTGTGGATGCACAGAAGGCAGAGAGGAGAGGAGAGCAGTGGAAATCTATGGGCCGGCCCTTGGGACGGAAGAGCCACCGCTGCTAGCAAAGTCCCACCCTAGCTCTGGGGGTAAAAGGCAGGGGGCGGAGATGAATAGAAGTGGCAGACAACTATTCATCTCCCAGCCAGACGGACTTCTTAGCCTGCGAGATAATTTTTTTTTTGCTGCGGCTGCCGGCGCTCCTAATAAAGGAATCTTTTGATGTTTTGCCGTGTTTGGGGAGCTGGGTCAGATCAGTTAGATGGATGGATGGTTTGGCTTCTTTTGCAACCCTCAATAGACCTCGGAGGTCCCCTTAAGCTAAAATGCCAATGGACCTGGCTTCAAACCTCATGCTTGACCCAAGAGAGCGTTGCACACGGCACTGATGCCCGTCTCTTTTGGATCCCCAGGTCCACAGGGGCGACCGCCCGTAAGAAGCAAGTCAGCAAGAAGCAAGTGAATTCCAAGATTTTGGTGCGGAATATCCCCTTCCAGGCCACGGTGAAAGAGATCCGGGAACTTTTCAGGTAAGGAAGAAGGCTGCCCTTCATATCCAGAGAAATTGGATGCTGTGAGATCTCTGGTGCGCTCTGAGCTTGGTTATTTATTACCCAACTGGCTAACATCATCCTGGCTAATGCTGAAGATGTTACCTAGTTGGGTAATGAAATGTCTGCAGAAAACCCACCAAGCTCAGAGAATACTGTGAACTCCACAGTTCAATCCTCAGCTATAAATATTTTCTTGTGTTAGTCTGTGGAGTCCTTGGTGCTCCCTCTCCTCTTTCCTTCCTTCCTTCCTTCCTTCCTCCCTCTGGTTGTTTGCTTGCAATGTTTTTCAGGAGTAAACCCACCCTTCCTTCCACTGATGATGTTACCTAGTCAGTTAATGAAATGTCTGCAAGGAAACCCAGGGCCCCATATTCCTCCTCCTCCTCCTCCTCCTCCCTCCAAACCCCATTTCCTTCTAGCCCTGATGAAGTTTCCTACTTGGGTACCAAATCGTCTGCAAGAAAACCACCAAGCTCCGAGACTTGCACCAAGGATCCCACAGTTTTAACTACAAATATGTTGATTAAGTTGGGTGCATATCAACGGCTAGAATTCTGGCCATTGGAAGTCCACCCATCTTAAAAGTTTGCCAAAATTTAAAACAAAACAAAACACTGCTTTAGAGCATCAAGTTACATAGATCCTATCAGTGGTGGAATTCAATTTTTTTTTACTGCCGGTTCTGTGGGCATGGCTTGGTGGGTGCGGTGTGGCTTGACAGGCATGGCTTGGTGGACGTAGCAGGGGAAGGATACTGCAAAATCTCCATTCCCACTCCACTCCAGGAGGAAGATTATTGCAAAATCCCCATTCCCTCCCCACCCCACTAACCTGCTTTCCAGCTCCATTTTCCTGGGCAGGGCAACCAAGCGATCAGCTGGGATTCAATGGGAGGCAGAGAAGAGATGGGGTTGGCAGGGCCAGTCAGAGGTGGGATTTGCTGGTTCTTCTGAACTACTCAAAATTTCCGCTACTGGTTCTCCAGAACCAGTCCAAACCGGCTGAATAACCGCCTCTGCATCCTATTAAACCTTAGGATCTACTTAATAACCATGGGGGAAAAAAATTGGTTGGGATGCCAGCGTTTTCTCCTGCAGGGTCTGCAGGGGGCGCTCCTGAGCTTCGCAAGGGAGGGAGGTGAGCCAGCGGGGCTGACTTAAACCTAATAGAAGCTCTTGGCTAGAAATTGGTAGATACTTGAACAGATTAAAACGTCCAGTTGGGAGCTGAGTAGGAGAAGTAGAAATAACCAAAAGAATAAAATAAAAATTGCCTGCTGTGAGGCTGCTCGCGGTTTAATATTTGAATGCAGGAGTGTTTTCCCTTCTGCGGCTTTTGATCTCATTAAACCATCTTGGGCTTTCTCGAGCATGGAGCAGGTCCAATGAACACAGCAGTCCTGTTGCTTAACGGAGGGTTAGAGATTTTTGTGCGTTGAGGGGTGGGAGGGTGTCTCCCGAATTTAAGATGGATCTCATCCGTGAAAGAGCCAGAATGGGAATGGCCCTTTAACAACCTAGGGACTTCAACACGCTGGCTTGGGAATTCTGGGAGCCGAAATCCACAGGTCTTCAAGTTGCCAAGGTGTAGAGCAAGGCTCTTCAGACTTGGCAAGTTTAAGACTGGTGGACTTCAACTCCCAGAATTCCTGAGCTAACGGACTGGAGGAGGAATTCTGGGAGCTGAAGTCCCCAAGTCTTAAACGCTGTCAAGTTTGAAGACCCCTGGAATAGATAGATAGAGAAAGAGAGGTAGGATAGAGAGAAAGAGAGACAGATAGAATAGATAGATAGATAGAATAGATAAAGAGGTAGAAGAGAGAGAATGGAATGGAATGGAATGGAATAAGAATAAGAATAAGAATAGAATAGAATAGAATAGAATAGAATAGAATAGAATAGAATAGAATAGAATAGAATAGGCAGGCAGATAGACAGACAGCAGATCAAGGGTCTTCAAACTGGGCAAGTTTAAGACTGGTGGACTTCAACTCCCAGAATTCCTGAGCTAACATGACTGGAGGAGGAATTCTGGGAGTTGAAGTCTACAAGTCTTAAACGCTGTCAATTTTGAAGACCCCTGAAATAGATAAGAGAAAGAGAGGTAGGATAGAGAGAAAGATAGATAGATAGAATAGATAGATAGAATAGATAGAATAGAAT